TCCTCTGAGCTCTGCGTGCGCACCTCAGTTCTCTTTCTGCTTCTGTTTCACCTCAGGTAACTTCCTGTCCCCACCCCTACACATCCGTGGGTATTTGCTCTGAAGCTTTGACACGCGGCCGCTACCTCCCTCTAGGCCTTCTCCCTTGGGGCGAGTCCTTCAGGTGCATGTAAGCGCTGCAGATGGCCGGTCTTCCCAGTGCTAAGGCAGGTGTCCACTCGGCGTCTGCCCCGGCCTTTTGCCTCGAACTCACATCTGCAGCTCCGCTTCCGTAGCGCCACCCCTAGTTTCCCGATGGCAGCCTGCTCGTGGCCGCCTCCGGTGCCCGAGCCGTGTGCCCGGGAGCACGTGCTGCAGCCGAGCTGTGCCTTTCCTCGGAGCCCCGCGCGGGCTCGCTGCGCACTGGAGCGCGCAGCGGCCTCTGGCTGCCCGGGCCGCCCTGTGCGAGACACCAGTGGTTTCCTGAGCAGCGTCAGCGCACAGCCTCCTTCAGCCCGCAGAGCTCTGTGGACTCAGGCTTAGTCCCCTGAATCTAGTGTTACTCTGTTCCGAGACCCTGTGTGTCCTAATTTCACTCTCTCCATTACTTCCACTTCAGTCAGGTTGGCTGAGCACCCCTTTAGTCAGGGAGCGTTCATTCGCGTTGCCCTCGAGTCTTCCACGGGGGGCGCCTGCTGCTTCCGGGGTGCTTTCCCGACCGAGCACTGTAGCCAGCGTCTCATGCGTTTGGCAAGTCGCCTTCCTACTGTTGCACCCTGAGACTTGTGTCAGTGTCCTGCTTCTCTCAAGCGAGTAAACTCGGTCCTTATCCACAACACCTTATTTTAGACCTACTGAACCTAAAGCTTGGGGAAGGATCTCAAGCACACCGAAGTTTGGGGAAAGTTGTATTATTGTTAAATGCACAGTGTGTTTTCTGTACGAAGGAACTGTTTGAAGCATTTCTCAGAATAGGTAACTTTTTAGCGTTCATCCACTATATCTCGGCCCAGCGTTAAGGATGCCTGCCAGTGTCTGTCTCCTCGTTAATATTAACGCCCCGCCCCCGCCACCCCCCGCGCCCCGAGTGTGCCTGCTTACAACTGCACCCGTGCTGCTCCTGTTCTTAAAAACAGCTCTTGAACGCCTCTCTCTAGTCCGTTGGCATCGCTCATGTAGACGGTGCCCCTGAAACGCTGCTCCCTGGGCTCCCTGCCGCCGGGTGTCTGTCACCGTTGTGCTTTCAGTCAGCCTAGGTGGGCTTCACCTTCCTGACGTGGACTTCTGAAACGGGAACCTCTCTGTGCCACTGTCTCTGAATCCCCGTAGCGCTAATTACTCTGAAGGCAGCTCAGTCCGCAACGGCGTCTTCATACACATTTTGAAGGGGCGGAAGTGCTGGAGAGGGCCTCCCCTATGCGAGCATTCGGAATGAAGCTACCTAAGTATGTCCAGAATCACCCACATGAAAGAGATAGGAGGTGGTTAGCTGCCGGCCACCGGCCATCAGCCAGCTCAGTATCCGTGAACCCCACCGGGCCATGGGAAAGGTGCCGACATCAGAAGTCTGGCGTGTCTGGAGTCTTCTGGCCCACAGCTCTTGCTTGGCCGCCAGTCAGAATCCGACAGCAGGCGAAAACACGCATTTCTGAGTATCACGGGTTTTATAAAGTGACCTATCTTTGTGGATAGTCAAGTAGAATGTTATGGATTAAGTTACAGGGGGCTTAATTTCAGAAAGAATGTGTCTTTATCGTGGTGGTTTCGCACGGTTTAGGGCACTCCTACCAAGAGAAAAATGTCTGAAGCATCCATGATTGTCCCTGGTTCAGAGAGATACACTGTGAGAAGTCCGGTACTTTCAGTCAACACATGTAAGTTTTACAGTCTTAAAATGTTCTAACAAGTATTCTGTTTAAAGCAGGCATTTCAAAATTCTGGTCTATTCTGGGTATAATTTACCTGGAGGATAAATTGCGGCTCTAAAGATGGGCAGAATATAAACTACAGATGCCTTACATTTAGGAGAGAGGTGCATTCAGTATTGGCAGACAGGTGTTATCCCAAGTGTTAGCACCAAGGCTCAGCCGTTTCTGACGGCATAAAGCAGGAGGCAGGGGGACATGATGGAGATGTCCAGTTGTTCGGGCTGCCAGGGCATGTCCCCGCCCTGTGCCCCTCCAGCCTCCGGCCACTTCAGGGCCAGTCCTTTTCTCTAAGAAACACCCCGCTGCGTTCACGAGGCCAGCGGGGAAGGACTCAGACAGTGCCTCCTCTCGTTAAGAACTGTGCCGAGCCCTGGCAGCCATAGATGCGGTCTAGCTGGCCTTCACGACAGCGGAACAGGCCTGATGTCCAAAACGGCTGTGTGCAGCCGCGCAGCTGTCTGATCCTGACAAGCTCCTGGAGCTGTCCGGGGCGCAGGGACTCGTCGCCTGTGCTTTCCTACCAGTTTCCCCTCCATGTCCTAACTGGGTAAACGGCATCCATATTTACTCACTCATTTGCACTAAAAGCCCAGGACGCAGTCTAGAAGCTCCCTTTTGCCCTCCTCACCTGCAAAGTACTTCAATAATGACAGCGTGTAATTAAAAAGGGAAAACTACAACTTTAGCCGTTCTTTGTCCTCCTTTTAGCAACACCACGAAGAGGAAGAATTAAACCACCACTGCCAATGAGGCCAGAAAAGCCTGGTGCTCCTGACACGTCACAACATACGGGGGCTAATGCTGCGCCCCTTGTCTCTCGGGCCTCCGAAGGAAGGACTAAAGGAGATAAGGCAGACAAAGTAACTTGGCTTTGAAAGCATTTTCTACAAGAAGTGTTTATCAAGTTATTATAGGAATACTTAGCCTGGTTTGCAGATGCTGAGTGTCTTGCTTGTTTGGAGTGTTGCTTTTCGTCCAGAGCTGCAGCTGTCCTTAAAGGCGAGGGCCTCCTGGCCTGTGACTCACTCACTGTGCTGGCCCTAGAATTGAGGGCTGTCGACAAGCACTGACCTACACATTTGTGAGGAGAAATGAGTTTGCCCACATCCCCTTTGGTTTACTGTGCAAATCAGTGTCTCCGTGGGGAGGATTCTAATGAAGAAAAGTTAAATGCAACAGGACTGTGTCCTTAGCATCTTAAAGTCTCCTGTGGAGTTCAGCAGGGTTAGTGAGAGAATTCGCCTCACAGCCGTGCTCTTAGAGATCCAAGCAGGGCACAGGAGCGCCCCAGTGGAGGGCGGGGCTTGCTCCTAGGGGCTTTCCCTGCCTTAAGGCGGTGGGGACGGTTGGTCTTGGGGGGCAGCAGAGGCTAGTGAGGTGGCACGCACGGGAGAGGCAGCAGGCAGTGCAGAGGGGAGACGCGGGAGGTGGTCAGAGTCGCAGGCCAGGCGGTGGGTGGGGAGCACCTGGAAGCCTCTTGTCTCGGAGGAGCAGGGGCCCCAGGTGTTGCCGGGAGACTTGCCGGAGCAGAGGACTCGGGACATGTAAGGATTTGGAAATGACGAAGAGTACGTGCGACGTCAGGCGCTGTTGAGGGCGCAGTTTAGACTGAAGATTGGACTTCCGTGGCGTCTGTGCAGGAAGTGTCATTTTCTCAGATGAGACTCAGCTTCGGGTGCCAGTAAAAGAATGGGTGGTGGGTCGTTAAGGACCTGTAAGTGGCTGTGTGGCAGAAAGATAAAAGCTCTCGGGGCCACAGTGAGGGCACGGCGGCCGTCGTCTCGCTGGTGTGCCTGCAGGAGGGCCGCAGTGGCCCAGGCGTGGCTGGGCCTCAGTGAGGGGTGACAGCATGACCCTCCTCGTGGCACTGCAGATACCTGCACATCCCCACAGGCTCCCCCAGAGGGGCCGGATGGCAGGTTGGCCAGGGATGGAGCCGGGAGAGATGGAACAGGACTAGAGGGGCACGTTTCTGGGACTGAGGGCAGCTCTTCACTCGATCTGGGTCTGTGGCTGTGGTGGGAGGGAACGTAGTGCCGGAAGCAGTTACTGCACACTGGCCCGAAACTTACAGAATCCGCTACCACCTCAGTCTGACTCTTGAGCGCGCCTTAGTGAAAAGGCCGATGCGGGCTTTGAGACCAACAGCAGTAGCAGATGTGCCATTGAGGTTCTAGAAGTTTCAGGTGAGAGCTGAACCACTACACTAGAAAGGATGAGGCCAGAAATTTTACAGGATCTTCTGCGTCTTTACCCGAACTGAAAGGCACTTTGTTGTGTGTTAGGACAGGCAAAATTCCAGAATGGGCATGACTTCTATGAAATAGACATTCTGTAGGAAGAGAGTTATTTTGAAAGTTTTAAACTTTAATACTCTTCTAAAAAGCACTTCCCTGTAGTGCTTAAGTCCAGATTACACTAACTGTGTCCTGTATTTATAGCATGTCAAAGCTGCTCCAATTGTAGAAAAGACGGAAAATAAAGACAAAGAATGCCCAAGTCAGAACCTCAGTAAGTACTTTTTCATTTAATTTTAGCTGCTCCTTGGAGATACATCTTTTTCTCTATCCTTTTACCCCCCCCCCCC